CTTTCAAAATTCCATTTTATTTAGTTCCGCCCATTGTTTTCTCGTTTAGGGCACACGCTTTTTATTACTTGGGGACCATACGCCGCTTTTCATGGAATGGCACGGAAGTGTCACATTGAAGGTTCCATGATAACCGCCGTATGAACACATCTGCGGATGTTTCTAAAATCAAAATTTTACTATTTCACGTTTAAATGTTGAATTCTGCTTAAGCCGGTGCTAGGGGGCGTGGACGGTAACTTGCACTTTTCCAGTACCGTCCATGAACAGGCTCAATCAAACCGAGCCTGCAACATTTTCAATTTTGCCGTGTTGGGCTTTCTTTAGGGATTCTGTATTTATCTATTTGATGGCTTTGGGGAAAAACTTTGGTGATCATCTTAGAAATTTGAGAGATGTGTTTACCAGATTCCGGATTTATCAGCTTAAGTTGAAACCGAAGAAGTGTGTTCTTTTTCGGACAAAGGTGGAGTTTCTGGGACGTATGGTCGGGCCTGATGGGATAGAGATTGGAAAGGCTGATATTGATGCCGTTAGCAAGTGGGCCAGACCGACATGTACCAGGGAAGTTGAAAGTTTCTTGGGTTTAACTAACTATCATAGGTCATTCATACCAGACTATGCTCTTAGGGCCTCTGCACTGTATAGCATAACAGGAAAAAATTCTGGAAACAAAGTGATCCCTCGGAAGCATTAATAACAACAAAATAACATAAGAATTGCAGACTCGGTTTGATTGAGGGATAATGAATAAGTGCAACATCCCTCACGCCCCCTAGCACCGGCTTGAGCGGTACTCAATTCTCAACACTTTATAGTGCTGGCATCAATGATCCCGAAGGACCAGAAAATATATCAACACCACATATATAAAAACCATTTGTCTGGACTGAAACTCAAGAGAAGTCATTCAATGATTTAAAGGATGCACTAACAAACCCACCAGTACTTGGTCTTCCTAATACTAAAGATCTGTCCATACTGGATACGGATGCCTCAAATGTAGCGGTTAGCGGGGTATTATATCAACAACAGGAGGGAAAAGAAAGAGTTATTTCTTACGGTTCCTATGCCCTTATCCCGCAGCAAAGACGTTATTGCACTACCCGGAAGGAACTATTAGCAGTGGTGAGGTTTACCCGTCAATTCAGACATTATCTCCTGGGGAAACCATTTAAGGTTAGAACTGACCATAGCAGTTTGACATGGTTACTACACTTCAAGGAACCTCAGGGACAAATAGCTAGGTGGTTGGAGGAGCTAAGCCTGTATGATATTGTCTTAGTTCATAGACCTGGGAAACAACATGCAAATGCTGATGCTCTGTCAAGGATCTCATCATCATTCTTCCCTTGTACGGAATATAAAGCAGACACTAGGCTTGAGGATTTGCCTTGTGGAGGTTGTAAATATTGTGCCAAAGCACACAAGGAATTGCGAGGAATTGCGAGGTTTCGAGGAGAATGTGGATAATGTTGTGTCTCTCGGCCGTACAATATGTAATGCTGAAGTGGAAGAGCATGACCTACAAATGTTTTAAGATGTAGATCTGTACACCAATGACACTGAGCCACCGCTAGAGCCAGGACAAGCTGGGCTGGTCCTTATAATTGACAAGGTTCAGGAGGTAACTACTGACCAGACTGACCCTACTCCAAAAGCTTGGGATTTTCAAATTCAAAGGTTGCAAAAGGCCCAAGGCGATGACCCTGATATGAAGTTCCTAGTCATATGGCTGGGCACTAAAGCTGAACCAGCGGAAGGAGAGTTATTTATAGCTGGACTGAAAGCCAAGTTTTATTGGGTCAACCGTGATTGTTTCGTGTTAAACAATGGAAGAAAGGTCTAAAATCTAGCACAACTTGCTTAGTTATACCGGACACCCTTAAAGATGAAGTTCTGTCCTTGTGTCATAGCATTCCTGCATCTGGTCATCAAGGAGAGGACCGGACATTAGCAAGAGTTAAGAGAAAGTATTATTGGCATGGCGTTTCCAAAGATGTAAAGCAGTACGTAGCGACCTGTCCGGCATGCAATAAATGGAAGAAGCCAGTTCGAAAGGCTAAATGGGAAATGTCCAAATTTCATGCTGGAGCACCTTTGGAGCGTGTTCATTTAGATTTCTTGGGACCACTTCCAAAAACTGTCAGGGGAAATGAATATGTACTGATGGTAGTCGATCAGTTTACAAAATGGGTTGAGTGCTTCCCACTACCATCACAAACAGCGGAGGAGACAGCTCAAGCAGTAGTGAATGGTTTCTTCTCCAGGTTTGGTTGCCCTCTGCAGATCTTTACGGACAGAGGAAGTAATTTCGAAATAAGCTCTTTTCTTCGGTCTGTGATTTGCTGCAGATTCATAAAAGCCGGACAACAGCTTATCGGCCGTCAGTCAATGGTCAGGTGTAAACTTCACTTATAGCGAACACGGTTATAGCGAACTTCCGGTTATAGGGAACAATTTATTTTGGCCCGAATTTTGGCCTTCTTTATTTAATATAAAAATATATGGTTATAGCGAACACGGTTATAAGGAATTATCGCTTATAAGGAACTCATTTCTTAGTCCCAATTTAGTTAATAGTACAGAAAATTACACTTTTATAACGAACTCCAAAATATTGGCTATCCGTAAATAGATCCCGCATTTTCAACTTTCGTTTTCCTTCGCACGGAGAATGTACCGTTTATCGTTGTATGTACTTCAATACATCTTTCAAATGAATTTGTATAGTTTCTATTTTGAATATTTTTAGCATGAGCTCTTTTCACCAAGATAAGATGGTTATTTATTTATTTTTTTTCAATAGTTTTGCTGGAGTAAAATAATTATAATAATTTATAATCGGTTTTCAACATAATCATGCATGCTTGCAAGCATGATCCATTGAAAACTGCAAAGAACGCTTGATTTAAATGAAAAGAAATCTATATCCTACATTAGTAAAAGTCACCCTTAAATTATAATAGAATATATTCAATATAAAAGGAAGGAAAAATCGAAAATCTTGTTTATTCTCAATCATGGAAAGAAAACGAAAATAGTTTAGAAACAAAATATTATATTTTATGTGAAATTGAGATAAGGAGTAAAACTAAAACTAAAATAGCAATGATTTTGAAATTCCAAAAAGTAAGCTCTCAGGAAGTGTGTCTAAAATATAAATAAATGACTAATATTTCTTTTTCTTAATCAAATTCTCTTCAAAAATGGCGGACAATGGTAAACAATCAGTTCGTTATATGTAAATCTGTTCGCTATAAAAACTCCTGATATAACGAACAAATTCGCTATATGCTTACAAGGAACTCCGGATATAAGGAACAGGTTTTGAATGTCCCAGTGAGTTCGTTATAAGCGGAGTTTACTGTAACCGGACCCTGATGGACGCCGTTAGATGCTTTGTGGGAAAAAAATCAAGGCTCATGGGATAGGCTGCTTCCACAAATAGCAGGAGCACTGAGGGCAAGTGTAAACCGTCATACGGGTTATACACCGAACATGACGATGCTTGGAAGAGAGGTTAACATGCCTGCTGACCTCATCTTCCCCAGTATGTATGAGGAAGTCCTGGATTCTGACCATTATGTGACACGTCTCCAGAACAGTCTAGGGTCTGCTCATGAAGCCGCTCGTGGAACATTGAAAACTAGTGTCGAGACCATGAAAAGACACTATGACGTGAAACTTTACAAGAGACAATTTGAAGTTGGGGATGTTGTGTACATTTTGAATGCTGCAACAGTTAAAGGACAAAGTCGTAAACTTAGTCCCCCTTGGAAAGGGCCAGCGGTTGTGGAGGTCAGAATTTCTCCTTATCTATATAAGATAAGATTACAAAGTGAATCAGTCACAACAAATCACGACAGGATGAAGCCCTGCAAAATAACAGCTTTACCTGCTTGGATGAACAGGCTCAATCAAACCGAGCCTGCAACATTTTCAATTTTGCCGTGTTGGGCTTTCTTTAGGGATTCTGTATTTATCTATTTTAAGAGGATTCAAAGACAGCTGACGTCTTCAGAGCTCTCTAAGCCGGAGGATCAGACAGCGGTAGAGTTATTCTGCATCTGTAACGGGCCAGACACTGGCCAGTTTATGATGCAATGTGATACTTGCGATGAATGGTTTCATGGCGAATGTGTCAACCTTACGGAAGATGATGTCAAAGACTTAGAGGAGTACATCTGTCCAAAATGCACAAGAGCCATGAGGGATTAAAAGAGGGTGGGCAGTGTTTGAAATTGCCTATGTATATTACTTATCTTAATCTTTACTTTCCAGAGAATGGGGGAGGGTTCACAAACACCGACGTCTTCGAGTTCAGACTCGCCAAGGAGAAGTCCGCGCAGACAATGGAAACAGTTTCACCAGCCACCAAATCTGGTGAAACTCCAGACGCCCCTGGAAGAAGTCTTGACCTGGAACGACCAAAGTAGACTGTGGGCTTCCCCAAGGGAATTGGTTACGCGTCTTCACACGTTTCTGTCGGCTTAACAAAACGACAAGATCAAACAGACTCTTCTTGGCCAATATAAGTTAGCTAAGGAAAAGAAGAATATCGGGTGGATGAAGGATTTCAGGGCGTGTGTTTCTCTTCATCAGGGCGACAAGTGGATGAAGGAGAATATCGATTACCGCCCACCAACTCGCCGACAGCAAACAAGTGCCATCCCCTCTTGCACAATGACTAAAGATGTACGCTTGGGTACAGACCCGTCATTACAAGTCGTGCATGAGGAGGTGGTCACTGTCAAACAGGAGCCCACAACGGAACCCGGTTTGACAGTGACAGTCAAGCAGGAAGAGCCATATGCACTGTTAACAGTGCCTGAGCCGATAATAATATCGGACGAGGAGCCTGAGGACAGGAATGCAGATGCCCGGTCCACTGCTCACACAGAGGAAGTAATTGACAACCTCAGGGAGGTCATTGACGAGACCAACTTCCAGGCTCCTGGGACAGGGATTTACGGTCTCCTAGGGGTCTTCCTGTAGAAATGCCACCACCGGTTGACAGAGAACTATCTCGGTCTCTAGTGGCACAATCAGATCTGAGGGCTACTTTGGACAGGAAAAGACAAAAAAGAGGATCTAGTCCCCCACAAGAGGCAAGTCTAGGAAAAGTGCGCTTGAAGAGTTGTGTAATTGCAAGCTGCAAGAGTATGTTTCGCAACATAAGACGCCACGCTATGGAGAAGAATCTTCCAAAGCCTTTCCAGGAGAATGCATTAGCTGATAGCTCTCTTCACAACAAGAGGATGGAGTTGCTGATGTTTCTGAAATGCAAGGTTCTGGGAGAGAAGACTACCTTTAGTGATATGTTAAGGTGGGTGGACAGTCAAAGAGCCATGTCAGTGGACACATTTGTACCGGATACGGATTTTAAATGGCTAGAGAAAGCCTGCAGAAGGCAACGGTGGAGACAGCCTAGGAGGTTTTCGTTAGTGCCAATCAACTGTGAAGCATTGTTGTTTCACTGGAGAGTCTTGTTAGTGCTGTTAAACCACGTCACCGAAGAGGAACGCTTGTTATTCAAGCAGGGTAACACAAGTAACCCCATCACAGTGGAGTGCAGCGAGGAAGATTTCCAGGTTGTGGACAGTGTGGGCTTTGAAGACAATTTTTCAATGGCCAGCCCGTCGAATGACCTGGAAGCATTCGACTCTCATTTCCATGCAGATAGGCTGAGTAAGGTCCTATATGGAAATCCAAGGGAGGCGGTAGCCGACCTTATCAAGGCGTCAGTTGGAGTTCTTCCAACAACATCCGTGAAAGTAATTGGTGGAGTTATGGTCTTCTGTGACCCGGAGACATTTCCAGAAACGCTGCCAAGTGAAAAAGGGTTTGGTTCTGCCGTGGGAGTTCATCCAAAGAAATGCCATCTCCTCTCTGATTCTGCCTATCAGAAACTATTAAGCTTCCTTATGTCCTGCAATGTTGTTGCACTTGGAGAGATAGGGCTTGACAGGACGGAGCCAGAAATGTCTTGGGATCTGCAGGAGAAGACCATGGTGCGTTTACTTAAATTTAGCATGCCGGTTCGCCCAGTTATTCTACATATTCGGGATGGAACAGACCAACATGCTGGGGAGGTAAGCGCCAAATGTCTTCAAATTATGAAGGCTAATACAGCCCCTACGCAGGAGATCCACCTACACTCTTTTGGGGGAACTGTGGAACAGGTCGTTGGCTGGTTAGAGGCATTCCCTAACTGTTACTTTGGATTTAGCGACAGAGTAACACATTTCGACAAGTATGAGGTTGCTGCCCTCCAAAGGGTCCCTGACAACAGACTTCTGCTGGAAACAGATGCCCCTTACTTCAAAAAGTATGCAGCCAAAGCAAGTACACCAGCTTTTCTGGGAGACATTGGTGATGTGGTCAGCAAACACAGAGGTACTTCATTACCGGAAACAATGAGGCTGGCTACTCGCAATGGTCAGGGTTTATACTCTCTATAGAATAAGGTTGCAGAAAAGTTCAGCGTTAGCGGAGCTTTGTTTGTCCATGCTTATCGACGACATGTAAATTTAAGGAAGTTGCTCAGCGTAAGCGGAGCATTTATTGTCTTAATTATAGACTAAAAGGAAAAATTGTACCTCAACTTGATGACTTTGAGCGGCGTTAGTCTGCCCTTAAAACTGGAAGTATTCAAACCTAGACCTTGTTCTATAGAATGGGGAGGAGTGTAGTACGGTACGGTACGGCACCGGAAATAAGACAGGAATTAGCATCAACGCATGCGCAGCAGTTCAGTTCCATGCTCGTTTCTTCTTGTATCTAGATCGTTCGCTGATCAGACTCAAGGCATTTACACCTACAACAACGACTCAGAGTTCACTGGCCGGTTGCCATTGTACGACGATTCACACAGCTTGTGGGTAAGTGCTTTATAGCTTTCTCACACGAAAGAATCCGAAGACGCTTGTGCGGCTCGAACCTGGGACAGTGGGAGGCACGTTGTTTGAAGTGAACGACCTTTTCCATTCGACCAAGGACGCCCCTAAAATGTTACTTCTATCAGTAGATGATAAATCCATGTTTTCTATTAATACCATAATTTTATTAAATATTTATGCTTAAGTTATGTACATGAACAGAAAAACTGGAACAAAATGACCTACGAAAAGAATTATATTTAAATTGAACTGTGATATAAATTAAGATGTATTTTATTGATTTGGTTTTACAGCGCACCAACACAATTTAAGTCATATGACAGGAAATATTATTTTGACTAACCTCGGTGATAAAAACTTAAAGCAACACCACGGGTCAAAACCGCCTTACCTCCTTGAGCAAAGTGATGCAAAGACTCAAATAATTCTAAGACATTTATTCGCGCAAGGATAAAAGGAGGCTGCAATTTTGATGCCTCAACCCTTAAAGGCAACCCCTCAGCCACAAGGGGAGAATTCCGATAGATTCGTTACACTATTATGACATTTTTCAGAATAAATCTATGTCACGATATTGTTATTATCTAAAATCATAAGGGATAGGATAGTTTAAAATGCATTCACTCAAAATGTCAAACATTTGTCTATGGAGAATGCCAACTACAAAGACAAAACATCCGTATCTTTTGACTTTAACTGTATTGATTATTCCTTATAGTGATTAACGTTCCTAAATCAAGAAAGTTATTTCCCACTTAAAGACACTTAAATGACCCAACGTGTTCCGAACCAGTCTCCTTTACAACGTTAAAATGTAATAATAATAATAAAGACTTTATTTAAAGAGGCAACATAGTTAGGCAAGCCCAGTCTTCCCTATGAGCCTCTAATAATTGCAAAGGGAATATTGCAAAGGAAATATGTGTACGGATTTGCATGTAAATATTCATCGCTCGTGATGCAATTTTAACAGCAAACCGGGTGTATGCAATGGGACAAAACAGTACTATGAAAGTGAAGAAAGCAATAACTGCAATTGCATTTGTTCAGTTGTAATTAAATGCAAATCCGTACACATATTTCCTTTGCAATATTCCCTTTGCAATTATCTAATCACTTGCTAGGTAAATTCAGTATTTCTTGTTGAATAATTTTAACTCTTAAAGATCTGTGATATATTCCCATAATACCATTACATATTTCATTGAAAGATCTAAACATTTACATATGATCCAAAAGGATGATTAAGTTATTTTGTTTTAGACTACCCTTTGTTTTCCACCTGCATAGCACACTTGGACCACGGAATGGCATAGACGTGTCATATCAAAACCGTAGGATTGAAATTCTAAATTAAAATACCATCTTATCTCAATTAAGTTTCAGCTTAAGCCGGTGCTGGGAAGATTGTATAGGTAACATGTTTTTCAGAATACATAATGACAATATTTGAAACGAGCGGTTGTGTAATGCCCCGTTTGACACTTTTAAGGCAATACTTGTCTTTAATGTAAGAAGGATGGCCAAATGTGGTACAAATTGATGCGCCTTTTGCGTCAATAATTATTCACATCACGATTCTGTTGTCAAATTTTCTGACAGACTAAGATGCATCGATTGAGAGTAGACTTTAAAGATATAACTCTTGCGAATTTTTGCATACCTCCAAACTAAATATAAAACAAAGAACTATTTATTTTATTGAACCGTTATTGAATTGTTCATAACTTAAGGACTTTTGTTTGTTTAAAAATACCTCAACTGTTTGATGTTGACAAACTACGATTGTACATGAAAATCTTTACCTACATTGTGGCAGTTGCTTAAACAGTTTGATGTCGGTTTTTTGATCGACAATGGCATCTCGTTCGTGACAAAATGGTAATGCGGTCACACTTCCGTATTAATGAAACATATGAATTGTTTTCTCGTGTAATGCTTGTAACAATAGTAATCTTTTTT